GGCGGCCAGCACCCTAGATGCCATGTGCCTGACAGCGGTGATGGAGTGGCTGAGAAAGAGGCACATCTTGTCTAATTGATCTAAAATCTGTAACACAAAATATAACCCATAATTAAAAGGTGTTGATAGAAAAATATGTTTCCATATCATTAGATCAGTGCATTGCTTAAATAGTTGAACTCAGGCTTTTGTAATAAGTCATAATAGTAAATTAATTTATGTTAATTATGAAAATTTATAAATTAATTCTGAAAGATTTTGGCGGAAAATAATTAATCTGTGTCTGACCCGGCGGAAAATAATTAATCTGTGTCTGACCCTTGCCGTTTTATAATCAGTGCTAGGTTCAGTCACAGATGGCAAATTATCCTAATGCTAATAAAATGTTTTATTACAACTGTAAGCAGACCCATATTATCTTGAACTTGTTATTTAACCCTTTCTAAAATTTAAAAAAAGACAAAGAGAAGTTTTGAATAATAAGTTATTAAAAACTTACTGGAGGCAATAAGTCTGAATGCAAAGCAGGGATTATGGTTTCTATGGTTTGAAGATTATTTACAAATTCTTGAGTCTGTGAAGGTTCACTTTCCCCATTGCTGGTTTTCTCTAAGAAAACAAAAAAATAATACAAAACATTAAAAATAAAAATGAATTCCACTTCAAATTATCTTACTGCCCAGGCTTAAATAAAACAAAAAAAAGCTTTAAAGATTTCAAATTTATAAACTCCATAAAAGAAAAATTGTAAGCTTTTTTACTATTGAAGATCAATCAGGATAGGTTGTAAAATTGTTGACCTTAACGTTGCCTCACAATGAATTGTCACACATTAACACCTGCAAAAATATTATTTACCCATTTGAGAATGTTCAAATTGCTTAAATGAATCCACAAAAATACTCCACAATGATGGCAGTTGTTCACTAAGAGATGTTCCAAATGTTTTACATAAAACAGTCAGCGCTGTCTCTGCCCCTTGCCTCTGGGTCATTAGTTGTTTTTGTTGCTAAAATAATTAACAAATCAAGATAAGAGAAAAGTTATAAGGAAAAATATCTCATAAAGAGTTGAATGAATTAATTCCCAGTATTTGGAAGGTCTTTTACCAAGATTATTTAAAATTAATTATCAATTAAATACCCGTTCTGAACAACATGATTTTAAAAAATTGCACTATTGGTCTCTAACTTAAATCATAGATATTATGGCGAAATGTCGTCCAGGGGTAGGTCCCCTCCGAACGGTCACAGAAAACAATATCAGAGTCTAAAACTCTGTTTGTTTCTTGCTTCAAATAACTTCACCAGATGGTTTTGATAAAAAAAATATGCTTTAATTATTTAAAGAATAAACACAAACCAACATTAAGGGCATTCACACCATATGAATGATAAAACCTCTGTCCACCTTCTCTAATGTACCTGGATCAATAAAAAATCACCAACTCACTCCCTAAAGGATGCTTTCTTGTCACTCATAACAAATATATCACGCCACACTGGAAATGCGTCATAGCGCATTCATGACTTAGTAAACGTGTGCAATATATGGGGAAGTTCCAAACAAAAAACATTATTGCTCAGTGTTAAAATCATCAACCCAGACAACATAATCATGCGATCTGACTGTGACAGATATAAGTAAATATTTCTCTAAATACCTCAAGCTGTTCGATTCGCTCTTGTGAAAATTCAGCCTCTAAACCTGCAGTTTCAGCTTCACTTTTTATCATGGCGGCCGTTCTACGCATTTTCCTTTTAATGCTTTGTTCATTTACCTATAAGAAAAAAAGCTTCATGATTGACATTTCTGTGATTACATAAAATGATAAAATTTGCTCGATAGATTTTACAAGCTGCAAATGTGTAACTAACACATTAGCAATCACAAGCAAGACTTCCATTTTACCTTCTGTAAATTTGACAAGGTCAGGATCCCACGACACATTGAACATGAGACTTCAAGAGTGTTTGATTCACCACCTGAATGTTAGAAAAGGGTAAACATGATTAATTTTTCCATATGCTTATTCTACCATTCATTAAAATAAAATATGGCATACCTCTTTAAAAAACAAGTATTGCAGTTTTAACTAATTTCACGCGGCAACTAAACTTTCTGTAAGTTAATATAATCCTCCAGTTTCCATGATGCAAATGTTGAGAATATTGTGTAGCAACTCACACTGTGAGGCACTATTTGGTGGCATGGGGTTGGTCACATTTGGTGTAATAGTTGGGTCTACACAAAGGAAACTACATAGGTTTTTCAAAATCTTGGAGTTAGGGCTGGGGTCCCGCTTGATACAGGCTTTAATGAGTAGAGCCAAACATGAAGCAGCTTCCTCCTGAAAAAAACATAATTAACACAATTTTTTTATTTTTGGAGTTCATATGATTATAGTTCTCTACCCAAATCGCTAAAGAAAAATATGAAGAACTGTTAAATTATTTGAACATTTTCAATTTTTAAACTATGCACAACATGAAGGAACATTAAGCCAAGAAATACTTTGTTATGGCTTGTAATCAAAAGCTTCACTGCAAGAGGCAAACACAAGACTCAATGGACATGCTATCAAACAAAGTCATCTGTTATGTAACTTTCAATATCTGACAAATGTTTTATATATGATTTTCTTTGAGTAAGTTTAATTAGAAAGAGTGAAGTCAATCATAATGATCTTTAACAATAAAATATCACACAAAATTGCATGAAAACTTGTATTTTAAATAACACAATTATGATGTTCGTTATATCATGGTGGAAAACAATTTAAAATTAGTTTTGAAAAACATGTTATGTTAACCTGCAAAGCTTCATTCTCTTCTTTTTTAATTACATCCATTAAAGGACGAACCACTGGGTTTAGCTTTTCTGGTAAGGCGTCTAGAACTACCACAGCCATAGCCAAGCTGCACAGGACTCTGTTATAAATGACATTAATACAAATTAAAAACATGCTTAAAGTAACAGATGTTATATCCAAAAGCAGGTTTTTTTTCAAAGCAATTAAGTTCTCTTCAAAGGCAACGGTATTTAAATATAAAATAATGCCTATGTTAGAATAATCAAACACTCCATTGAAGGAGCTGTAAACAGAAACTGTTTATAAGTGATGTCCAAATCACATAACTTGTCATTTACCTGACGCTGTACATCTGCTGATCCTGTGAGGTTAGCATCACCATCGTGTGCAGCTGTTTCTGGCGCTCATCAAACTTAGCAACCAACTGTGGCTTGAGTGATGTTCTAATCTGTTTGTAGGTTGCTGTTGTCAAAATAGATGCTGCTTCCAAGGTCAATAGTTGTCTGAAAGGTAGAAAAAGAGTCATTACTAAATAAGATAAACTTGCTAATTTATGCAAAGCAGATTTGAAAATGAATACAATGTATTTCTGTGGTTCTTAAATGTAATTTTTAAAAAATATTTTAATTAAAATAATTTACAAACACTGGAAACATTTATACATAGTTAAAATATTTCCACATGAATAGCAATCATAGCTCCTTAAATTTCATTGAAATACATTGCTAAGAAACTGCTAAATCATAATTAATTATCCAACTTTTACTAACCTAGGAGGGTAAGTGTCATCAAGATTAATTCCATTCTGTTTTAGTGATGCTAAAAAGTCCTGGCAATCATTCTGCATACGGGTAAATGAAATTGCAATCTCATCATAGTAGATCAACTCACCCAGGCATGTTAACAACTGTGAGCTGACCTCTGGAGGGCTTGGACAGGGCTACAAGAGTGCACAACAAACTAATTAATATGCTCGGAGTTTAAACTATGTGATTTATTCTTCTATTGATTCATATACGACTTTTTCCTTTAGAAGATTTTTAAAAAATGTATAATTCTTATAAATCTTAGGTAATACACTCAGAACAAAGCATGGAGCATGCAAAGTTTGCCCACTTTAATTACTCTGGAATATTCATAATATTTCGCAACCATTGTCTGAGGATATTAACTCATGAACTATCTAAAAACATGTAGTAAAATTATATTACAGCTAAAAATATATTTTAAAAAAAATGATATACATTATTAATACCTTTTTTTGCACAGCCCAGAAATATATAGCCTGCCCCACTACAAATCTCTGAACTGCTGATTTCCCATTAAGATGAAACATAAATAGCTTCCCTAAAACAGTGGCTGGAGGTTCCTGTCCTGCAGGTATGATCAATGATGGCTCGCACAGATGGGTGGCCAGCATACCAAATAGTCTGAAATTTGTAGCAGGATTTTCAGTAACAACAAAATTTACATGATTAAAAAAAACATTAATACATGCTGGGGAATGTATGATTAGAATCATCTATTTTGCAGGGGCACCACAAGCTGCTGTTTTCTCTCCCCAATTTCCATAAACCAAGTGACACCGTTCCAATCATTAAATTTGCTGATGATACCACCATTGTTGGCTTAATATATGTAGGAGAAATTTTAAACCGTAACTTAGTAACATGTTTTATTAACATGTGTGATGAAAATTTTCTTCAGCTAAATGTCTCAAAGAAAAATGAAATGATTGTCAACTTCCAGAGTGGGGAATCACCCAATAGCAGATTCCACAAAAAATAATCCCAGTATGGAGCAAGTAGAGACATGTAAGTAACTAGATGTAACCATCAATAGCAAGCTAACATGGCAATGACAACAGGCTTATATCAAAATAAAAAGGATAAAAAGAGAATTTTCTTTTTAAAAAAATTACACAAATTTGGCATTAACAAATTGTCTTTGAAAATATATTTATGCATGGGCTGAAAATGAATTGATACATCATAATCAGAAAAAGTTCCTTTATTGAGATCCATAAAAGAATCATATCTTATCTAATGACGCCATAACTCTGTGACACAAATATCTGTCATCATAAGCTGATGATAGATAATAATTTTGCCTAAGATTTGAAATGCAGATTCAGGGTGGCGTAACAAAAAAACTCCCACATAGAATTTATTTTTGCATGTATAAATTATTACCTGGCCCCACACACTCGAGCCCTATAGATGGCTGCATCTTTTTCTGGTGAACTACCAGTTGAAGCATCACATCCTCCTATGAAGTTTTTGAAGTCCATTGACAAATTCTTGTACTCACCCTGTTGAAACTTCACCTTGGTAGCAGAGCTTTCCTGAAAAAATGTATTAGCTTTAAACTTTTCTTCAAGATAAATTTGTGGAAGCTAACATAGAATCATTTGTATGGGTATAATTGGTCAACATTAATTTTTTTTACCCTAGGCTTGTGTTTTGCTTCTATAAGAAGATTAGGGTCATAAGACATCCTAGGTGGTTGCATCAAGAAGGCCAGCCACACCCCCAGCCACGGAACAGTCAGAACATATAGGTGCTCCATGTTGGCACACTGTAAAAGTGAAGTCCAAACTTTGACAATCAGAGGCAACACATCTGCCTTTTCTTCCAGAATGCTACGCTGATAGATGTGACGGATGGCATCTTGATATATAGGAATTAGCCATTGACATGTTACCTGTAAAGGTATTTTAAATGACAGATACAAATTAGGTAGGAATATTATAAATGGAATATAAACAGTCACAGAGTAATATTTTTTTTAAACATTGTAATATAAAGATTTGAAGAATTGATTAAGTGAATAGTATTACTAGGAGAAGCTTGAAAAGCACTACATGAGACACCCACATTCATTAGACAGTTATTTACATAATTTTTGCATTTTACTTTGTGGGCATAGTCTTCTATATGCAACCTTTATTAATTGAACGTTTCAAAATGCTTTCGTACAACTATAAAGAATGTAAAACCACCAAAAACATGTGTTTAAAAAGCCACAAAAAACAGCAAAATTTAAATTTAAATACAATTTTAAAAGGGCTATACTTTATAAAGTAAGATCAAAATAAGATTCTTTTATTGATCCTAATAAATTTAAATGTTTTTTGATGAAATTGTAGATATTCATTTTCAACACATAAATAAATACATATTTTAACCAAGATTACATTTTACAATTAAAAAAATATAAACACAAGACATCTAAAGTATTTCTCTGGCCTAGAAATCTGGATAATGAAAAAGACAAAAAGAGGAAGAGGATACAATGTACATGCTGGGAACAACTGAATGACCTAGACTTTAGAGATAACATTGCACTTCTGTGCCACAACCAGCAACAAAAGCAGGAAAAGACAAAAGATGTAGCTACCAATTTCATCACAGCTCAGACTCAATGTAAATAAAAGCAAGACAAAGAACATGAAGGTAAACTCAGCCAACCAAGAGCATATCTCTCAGGCTGGAAATGCACTGGAAGAAGTGTAGGCCTTCACATACTTGGGCAGCACCACTGACATAATTGGTGGATCCGAAGCCGATGTCAGAGCTAGAATTGGAAAGGCTAGGTCAGTATTTGAGCTATTAAAGAAAATATAGGAGTAAAAGGGGATTACTCTTACCAAAGGCCTAAGAATACATGGAGATGCGAGAGACACACAAAGTATGGGATACACCTGAGAGCAACAGAAAAGAAAAGCATAGGACCGAGATGAATGGATGTCCCTGACAGGGTAAAAAGCATAATAAGTATGTACCTAATAATGTTTTTACTGAGAAAGTGAAGGATAACATACCTCTCCATTGTGCATATTCAGCAAAGTGTAAAATGTCTCTAGAGCTGCTCTTCGAACAGACACAATGTTGTGTCTCAAGAAAGGCCACAAGCGTGGTGTCAGTTCTGTTAATAAAGCTGTCATGCTGATATTAAAATAAAATGATATCTATGTTAACAGCCTACAAAAGGGTGTTTTTGTCTATACATTAATGCACATCTAGGTGGCAGAACATTAAAAGATAGAGAGGCAGCTTAAATAAATAAATCAAGTTGTAAACAATGTAACCAATTGTTTTTAAAAAGAAATATTTAAACGAGGGGCAGGGATGATGTTACAGCAGAGGTATCAAACTCGCGGCCTGCAAGACGATATTTTGCTGCCCACTACAAACAGCAAAGTTTAGTCTTAATGCGGCCAGCGTGTTCCCCCCATTCTCATATCTATAATGTGACCCTCTGCGACAGATTCAGTATTATTATTATTGTTCGTCAGACGAGGACCATCGAGTCGTCTGGTGACTGATGACTTGCGCGGGTGACTTTGTTTAAAGTGAAGAAGAGTTGCACGGCGTCTACCTCACTCTCTCGTCCGAGCCCACCATATCCAGTGGCAGGACTCTACGTCAAGACGACCAGGGATGGGTTCGGTTGCAGGAATTGTCATCGTATGCGCCTTACGGGACTCCAACTCCGGGTTTGAATTCAGAGTTTCCTCCTCTTAGATGAGTTGCCGACCAAGGTTAACGAGTCTCATCCACCCGGGGTGATGTTTTTGCTTGACTGGCCTTTGGCTGGACTTGAACACCAGACCACCAACTTGAGGTTTGCTCCGTTTAGACCATTTGGCCACCCAGTCACCCCAGCGACAGATTCAGTAAAATCTCACTGACCAGTCTAATTCTGATTTTTATTATAATGGAAGAAACTATTTTAAAATCGGAATAATTTTTTATAAGTTTTGTAGCATTTTACGAGACAAAATTGGCCAAAGTGCGGGTTTGAGAAAAGTTTAAAAAGTCAGTTAGTGGGTAATGCACAACCATAATTGTGTAAATCGGATTAATCTGACACAGTATCAAAGAGTCCCTATTAAAATTGCCGATAGTGTTTCCGAGTGAGGAAAATTTCGAGCCTGTCAGCTTGGCCACTTTCAAAATAGGGCTAGTCAAAATGAACTTTTCTACTATAAAAATCAAAATTTATTCTCCCTTCAATAGAATCTTCCTTTGCATCAATAATTCATAAATATTGCCTTCTCCTGCCTACTGGTTGAACACGTTTTAGCATTTAAAATCTTCATGGAGAAGGATGGGGTGGTTTTTCCTGTACTAAGTAATCCCAAATGGCTCATGGACTTGCATTTCTTGTTGACATTACACAGGAGCTGAATGTACTCAACAAGAAGTTACAAGACCAGGGTTAGCCTTTTAGTGTTGCCTATGACAATGTCAGGGCATTCTGCACAAAACTTGTGTTATGGTTCTCAGAGAAACCTTTCCCATTTCACAACATTACAAAGTAGTCATGGACTCGGGCACACCATTCAGTAGTAAATATACTGATGCCATTGCAAAGCTACAAGAAGAAATTTATCACGTTTTTAGACTTCAAAACACACAGAGTCACTTATCAACTTTTTTGCTGACACTTTCTTCTTTAATGCGGAAGATGCCCCCCCACCTTCTTCTTTTTTTTTTTGCGCTTCAAATGGAGATTTCCAGGTTGTTCAAACGGATCATGTGCCTTTATGGGAGTACCTATCTGTGTGAAAAGCTCTTTTCCACTATGAACTTTAACATGTCAAAGTTCAGGGCTAAACGTACTGATGAGCATCTTCAAGCTTTACTGAGGGCCTCAGTTGCTTCCTCACTCAAGCCAAAGTTGCTCAGCTGTGTAAGAAGAAGAGCTGCCAGGTCTCTGGCAACAAGGAGTAGGAGGAAGAAAGTGAAGCCTAGTTCTTGAGAACCCTTAATGAATTTGTAATTGCTTTTTTGTGGAATACTTGATGCGACCCAGTCTCACTCAGACGCTACCTCCTGCGGTCCCCGGATGATTTGAGTTTGAGACCCCTGTGTTACAGTGATAAATGTATCAGCCAATGGAGAAAGAAATATTTGAAATACTACGATTATATATATATAAGATATAAAGAGAAAAACATACAAGGAAGAAGACTTTGTGGTGGGATGAGATGTAAGCTTGGCCAACAAAGTCATTACACTGTTGGTGGAGGCTGTAAGGTCATCTAGATCTACTAGAGTTTCCCACAAACAGTTTAATATGACAGGGAGCTGTAAGATTGGAAAAAACATAGAGGTTTTAGTTTATTTATAAACAACTTTACAAAATGTAATAACTGATATTCTCCTTATAACACAGTTCATAATTGGGAGGGTCAGTAGACTTTTGGTTTTCAGTAGTTTTCAATGCTTAAAGTAAATATTATATTCTAAAATGTGTATGAACTATTTATCAAAAACTCTTCTGTAAGGGCATAAAAACCAAATAATTGTGTAAAGATAAAATAGCGTGTGTAAAATTTCTACTAATTAATATCTACAGCTTGTTTTGAGTTGCTGGCACAGATATAGTTTTAAAAGTTTGAGTTAAAAATTTGTTATATTTGGGCTAAATGCAATGACACTCATGATTTAAAACTGTCAAAAACTTTAATGTATGCTAAACATTTACTGGCTCATTTTTCAAGAAATATAACGTTATAGACAAACCTGATCAGGCACACACTGTACAAGTGAATCTGTAACTGGAATAAGTGCAGCAGCAGCAACGGCTCTGACATCATCATCAGGATCTTGTAAGCCATTGTGAATTGCAGATAACACTACAGGGAGAAGTTGTGAGGTCATGTCCTGAAAGGAAAAGAAAATTAAATAATATATATCCAAATTATGTGAAAAAAATCAAAATGGTGATGTTCAAATGGAGAAAATATTAAACATTTGAATAAAAATGACTAAAGACAAAAAGAGTTGGCAACAGATGGATAAATTAACTTCAGGAAATTTAAATACGTTAGGTTTCAAAATGAACTTTTTAAAAAAAGTTCTTAAAAAGCCCTAACTTTTAGAAAATGATTGGTTATTTCTGTATGTTATTAAGAGTTATTATTACATAGAAAAAAAAAATCATTTTTTTATAAAAAATTTCTGTTAAAACATATATTTAAGAAAAAGACTAAAAATGAACAGATTAGAGAAGGAAATAGAGAGCAATTTACCTGCCGCACAGCAAGAATGTATTTTAAGCTAAGGAGGGCACCATGCCTAACCTCCCACTGGTTTTGTGCAAGCATCTGTAGAGAGATGCTAACCACACCAGAGACGGACGGTTCTTCCATGTATTTAAGTACTGTACCAAGTGCCTGGGCACAGGTTTCTCTTACTGGGGCTACAACCTAAATAACAATAAATAATATATTACAACACAATGAAAAAGTTAAAGAAAAAAAAAAAGAAAACATAATTGTAGCTTAGCAGTCTGAATAAGAATAAAAAATATTTCTTAACATTCTACTACTCCCGTCTTGAATTTTTTTTTAATATAGAGTATAGTTCCATTACACGTAAATTGCTTAATAAATTTAAAAATATAAACCTCACTTATCATATAACTTTTAACACAATTTCAACTTTTAGGTTTATACTTTACCTCATCAGACACAAAGTCACCAAATCTGTCAAGAGCTAAGACACATAACAATCGTAGAGCTAGATCTGACAGCCATATTTGGTTCACTGACTGGAGCTAGAATAAACACATGAATATTGTTTTTTATTAATAAATATCAATAAATGTTAAAAAACTGTTAAGCATTTACAGAGTTGGTTTAGAAAACAAAATATTTCAAATAACTCTTTTACAGCAACCAAAGACAATCAGACATACACATTCCAGCAATCAAAGACAATCAGACATACACATTCCAGCAATCAAAGACAATTATGAGGCACACATTCCAGCAATCAAAGACAATCATGAGGCACACATTGCAGCAATCAAAGACAGTCAGACATACTGAGGCACACATACCAGCATTCAAAGACAATCAGAAAAACACATTATTTTTTTTTTTTTTATTAATAAATCATAGTCACAAACCTGATTGCTGGGTATGTCCACAGCTTTGCCAGCACCTCTACCATGAAGTTTAATAACTTCTCTAAGGCCTGAAGCAGCTCCGTGACGAACTTCCCAAGTGCTGTGAAAAAGGTCATTCATGAGAACCTCAGTGAAGCTCTGGAAGGGCCAATCTTCAAGCTGAAACCAACATGAAGCATCTTTAAAAAAAAAAATAATTTAAAAATATTGATTTCCTCATTAATTTACTCATGAGATCATTAAAATCCTTAGTGTGAGAAATAAAAAATAAAAAATCAGTCACATTTTATGAATGACAACTTTTTTCATTGAACAAATGTAAGTAATATAAAATCAAGATCTTGCTTAAAAATCAGACAACTCCTTAAAATTTATTTTCAAAAATGATGTGTCTTTGTGGAAGCATACCAGAAGTTTTTGGGTTAACTTGGCAATTATCATTTGATATATCCCAGTACTGATAATGATCTTGCATTCTAAATTTATTTTTAAAAATGATGGGTCTTTGTGAAGGCATACCATAAGTTCGGGATTAACTTTGCAATTTTCATTTGATATGAAAATCAAAAATATTCTCAAAAACTGACATAAGAGCTCATTTTTCATTAATATCAATTCTTTTTTTTATTAAACAGAGCAAACCATTTTCTGACAACACTTGATAAGCAAAATATTTATATATTATGTACCTCATCTGCTAGAGATGATGAATCATTTGAATCAATCGAACCAGTTGATCGTTCTCTCTTGATTCGCTTTACTGCACAGGAGTCATCGGTTGCATTATTGTTGCTATTGAAAATATATAAAATTAGTATTCAAGATTATAACATTGACTGTGTAGCAAGCTTGTTAAAGTGAATCTTTATTTGCTGGATAGTGCTTACAAAGAAAAAAAAGCTTGAAAAAGAAATATGATTCACTTACCTAGAAAACTGCTTGGACAGTGTTCTTGCTTTTCTTTTTGCAACATTCATCTCTCTTGAACTCATCTGGCTTTTAGACCCTAATTGTTGCTTAAGAATCTCAACCACAGGCTACACAAGATAGAAATTATAAATCAATAGTAGTAGTACTTTGATTAGTTCTGCAACAAGCCTATGACCTATCTAAAGGAACTTTATATCAATTTATTACTATAAACATTAAAATACCTGTGAGTTGTTATTGGTCACTGGTAAACCTGACTCAACATTCATTCGTAGATCATCATCATTAAATAGGTTACTTGTGTCAATTCCTAGACTGCCTGTAAAGTCCAAACCCAGTCGTTTATTTAACATCTGTCTTTGTTGCATCAACTGATCTTTGTCGTCCATATCTAAAAAAAATCATTAAAATAAATTAGTAGCTGAGATAGAAAAAAGATTTTTTAGTGGAGTATTTACAATGTGTCTCTATACATTCAATGTACTGAAAAGTAAAGCTACCTTTTTACTTAAAAGTATATAAATAGTTTTATAATATTGTAAACATATTAACTTAAAAAACAAACATATAAAAATCCTTTAAAAAAAAGTCTGGTCTAAACTAATTATAACAAACAATAGAAATGACGTAGCATAAATGTGTACACCTAAGGAATAATGTATAATTATTCCCCTTATACAGCAAAAAGGTCATGACAGGCAGTTCAGGCTCATGAAAACAAGAACTCAGTACAGGAGCTCCTCATTCCTGCCAAAGACAATAAGGGACTGGAAAAAGCTTCCAAAAGCAACAGTTGAGGCAAATACACTTGACACATTTGTGTCTATTGCCTCCTGTCTTCCAACCCCCCCCCCCCCTGAAACATAGGAGCCATTATGATCAATACATTAAACGTGGGCCCTCAAGATATGGAACAAGAAGATGGCACATGTAGCTTGATATCCGAGTTCAGTCACGCAGTTACAGCTGTTTTTGTCTGTGTGTAATCGGTATCTTGGTCAACACGCAGCTACTGGTAAATACACTAGCACTACCGGTAATTCGACATTGCCCCGCATTTAATGTGCGAAATTCTATAGAAACTAGCACTGACTCTGCATTTTAAAATGATACTTATGACTAATTGGTGCTATGCGGCCCAGCGGTCTAAACTGAATCAAAAGCTTGTGCAATCCCCATCCAAAGCCTAGACAATCAAAAACATCAGCAGCACAACAGGTGAATGGGACTCGATATCCTTGGGTGACAACTTGACAACTCATCTATGAGAAGGAAAACTCTGAATTCAAATCCAGAGATGGAGTCCTGTAGGCGGTTAACCTTAACAACACAGCAACGCCAGCGACACTGCTGGTTCCAAGCTGTATCATCCACATATTCCACTTTCCCTTGAGTTATCCAGGTTCATGGAGAGAGATGATTTGCTGTCTAGGGAACCAGCAAATCATCTGAAGAAAATCCCAGGCCTTGTCATATCGTCATGCGTAGCCTACACAATTTTAACATATTAACAGACGGATGCCGGATGACTAACATTTCTTGACTTTTACATGAGTATATACAGCAAACGTTACTTTGTTTTATTTTGCCATTCTGAAAGCTAAAAAATTTTTTCAAGACTTAAAATTATAATTATTTAGCTTTGGCATATAAAAATTTTATGTCTGATAAAGAAATATAAAAAGCATAATTAGTTTACACTAAATATGTTTTGGGTTGAAAACAGTTAAAACAAGAAGAAATCTAAGCTAATTTTTATTGTTGCATATTTAAATTAACCTACCCACTAAAGGCTTGACTATGTCATATTGGTCACCCTCTGACCCTAGCAATGATGATCCACATTCAAGCACTCTTTTAATATCAAACTGTGAGTATAACACTGTGCCAGCACCAATGAAATTAGCCATGTTGGATTCTAAAACAAAATTTAAAAAAGAGACATTCATTTGCTTGTAAAACAAAATACCTCAAAATTTGTTAGAAAAGTGCAGCACACACTTAATATTAACAAACACCCTCTGTTTACAAAGCCAAAACCAAACAAAAATTGCAAATGATATATTTAAATAGCCACATTGTTTGACAATAACAAATAACCTAAAAATGTAAGTGATTTACCTGATTTAGGAGCCCCTCTTGGCTCCCATTGTGGAACATTCTTTGCAATGGCATCCACCGCTTGAGCGGCTGCCACTCTGGTCTCCCAACTTGAACTTCTCAAATACCCATGTGTCTGGAATTTTGAAATTTGTCTAAAATTCTTAAAAGAAATGATGGTGCATTGACATACCTAAAATAATAACATTCTTTTAAAAATCTTCTTTAAAAAGCTGTGCGATTATAATGAATGATTATCAATATTTCTTGGCAAGAGATAGTAAAATATGATTTTTCTATGCAAATTGAATAAAAATGTTCAATATATACTTTAGTTAGAAGATTTCCAAGCTCATGTGGGTGAAGTCTGACAACATCACCAAGCTGATCAGCTGCAGATTTTCTAATGAGTGCTGTTGATCCTGTATCCAACAGTAAAAATAATCTATCTAACCTACAAAGGAAAACAAAATTAGCGGTTAGTTTAAATATATTCTAATTAAACCCCCAGGTTTAGACTGATTATTTTATTTACTAAACAATTAAATGTTCCTAAAATTTGCATATTTTGCATTACTGAACAACAGAGCCTTGGAGGAAAAAAGCTCCAGAACCATCCCTGTAAAGTTCTTCGAAAAAAAATTAATTTTTAACATATTGGTCTCAACAGATTTTTGAAAAATATAAAAAAATTAACAGAGGAATAATTTATAAAAACAATTAATCCTTCCAAATAAAAATAAAAATGAATCCATGAAAGCAATATGCTGGCTTTACTTCTTCAAATCCTGCTGGAAGTTGTTTTAGCAGTGTGAAAAGAACATACATGTTCCTAAATTTTATGACTTTACTTTGAAGAATGCTTTGCATGTCTATATTTCCTTTTTGGACTGCTGCTTGGGTTAACCCTTTTGTTACGGATAACGTTGACGTGACATCACGATCACCCACTTTCAATTACCAAGGTAGTCACATTGTTGTCATAACAAAGAACTATTCTGAAATTCCTTGGACGTCACGTCATATTTCAATGCTATATATTTCTTTATTCGTTAATCTATAGAGAATTTAATAAGCAAATCGGATAGAGAATGAAAAGTACCGAAAGTTTCTTCTCCCCACCCCCCCTTCCAAAAGAACCCACCAAAACAAGTTTTTATTGCTGAGTTAGCAAAAATTGATGCCCAAAACCAGCGGTAATGAAAGGGTTAATCACCTGAAGCCAGTTTCTTTATTTTTACAACAGATGGTAATGAGATTAAACATGATTTATTTAAAGAAGTTAATTATGATCAGTAAAAGTAAGAAGATTAATTTAAGAAAAATTATGATATTAAAAGCTCATAGTCATAAATAAAAAAAAAAATTTCTTTACTTTTCTTGTATTCAATTTCTGTAAACATAAGGCACCAAATTCTAAGTCAATTGTCAATATGGTTATGGCATGGCATACAAGCTTCATTATAATGCACCTACCAAATGACCATATAAAATGAAATGAGAATAATGCATTGTTTCCATTTTAATTCATGTGACTTTCTTTTGTGAGGGCTATTGTATGGCAACATAAGTTGATTACTGATGAATGACAGCATACCGGTACTTATAGTTTTTTGTACAGAGAAAGGGCATGGTTGCTTACTTTAAAATGACAAGCCTTACTAGCCCTATCAACCTGTGCTTAAATCAATTGCTATACTGAGTATCGTATGTCAAGAGTCGTGGCATCGAGTACAGTAGCTGCATGATTATGGGAAGTATGGGCCAATAAATTATGATGGATGCTGATTCTTTCAGTAAATTAATGGACATGAGACATGGTAAAATTTAAAAGAAACATTAATTCATTACATTAAAAAAAAAATAATGGCAGATTAACAAATTCATAAACATTCTCTGTGAGTTCTGTAAAATTGACCAGCAGGAATTTTTGTTATTGTTTGTTTACCTTGTACTCATCTCTTCTTTGACTTGGCCTATACTATAGTAAGTGCAATAGAATAGGAGGGTACCCGATATTTAGTTGTTGATAGTCTGGGATGAAAATCAACTTCAAACGACTGGTGGATGCATCACATGGAAATTCTACTGCTTCAAGTTATTGCTTGGTGTGTATACTATTACGTGTAGTCTAGACCTAATGGTTATTAATATCATATAATTTAGTTCCTTTCTTGTAAATTTAGCAGGATGCGCCCCTTCTCCGTCTCTAGGATTAGGCAAATATGCTTCATTGATTACGTCAAATGTACCATAGACGTTTATCAAAGTTAATGATTGATATGAAGCAACTTAAGTCTCTTGACAAGCAAATGATTGATATTGTAATCTACTAAGTTATATCGTGTACATCTGGACGAGTCACGACAAACAGATTGTTTACACTCTGTACATTAGCAGTACCCCCTCTTGAGCAGACCAGGAACTGCCAGACGCTCAATGATATTGCGTTCATTGGGCAGCATATTGGCTTTGAAATTTGACTAATAGTAAGATTTATCTGTAAAATAACTGAAATTTGCACAAAATATGATTTTTTAATGGAAATTATTAAAATTTTCGAGATAATTCCATGCTTGATTAACGCGACCTTGCTCCGAACGCGGTGTGTATTTATACTGACTGCCATCTTGCTGGCCTTCCGTCCAAATACCGATGAAGTTCACAAATGATTGGCTGAGAGGACCATGACCTATTTCCGTACAGCCAATCGATGTAATTGCTGTATCAAAAAAGAGATTCAGTGCCGTAAAATCAAACCTTGCCGTATTGGCTTGTGGTCTATTCTACAGCCACTAAAATAAAATTGAGTATTAAATGTTGTTTTTTTTTTAAATATAAAGTCAGTTAAGATAGAAAATATATTAAACAATCTTTATATTATCTAATATTAGATTTTATTTCTTAAATAAAAGAAATATTTTTGGGACTGCATTCAAGCCGTGTGAAGTAAATAAATAGTGGCACAAAAAGTATTTAGGCCTGAAATAAAAGCTTATACAATTGTGGAAATAGTGACAACTAAGATTTGTTATACAATATTTCGTAGACTATAGATTACGATTCTATAGGCCTAATAAAATACAATACTTAATCCAATCGAATATGTAATGAATAATTTAATCATTGGTGATAGACATCTGTTACATTAAAATTGTTCAAACAAATATTTTAGTTTAAACAATTCTCTTTCGCAATAATTGCAATATATTAAATACTGCAAATATAAATTCATTTTGCATTTTTATTAATATTGCGAAATAATATCAAAGCTAATAATTTTTTTTTAATTTTTTTTTTTTGTTATTGGCTTCATTTATTTCATTCCGTAAATTATAATAAATAATTAAAGCTTTTACTTTTATTTAAGTCTATACAATATAATTGTTATCAAAATTTTCTTCCCTAAATTTCCCCCCCCCCTCGCCCCCCAAAAAAATCCCACCAACCCCACCCACTTTTTTGGTCAACGCCCACTTTTACTCTCCGCGTTAAAAGATACATAGTTATTTTCTTACTCTTCAGTTTACAACATGGCAGCCTCCAGAGTTGATTCAAGTAAGCGGTTATGTGCTCGATACCGAAAGTTTTTCATTGCAGCCGGAGTAACTTTGGGATTACAAATACTACTGTGTCATTATTTTCTTAACCTTAATCAAAGAAGTGAAGAACTAGATATGTTACAGGATGTTAATGTTCATACAAAGATAATCGCTTCTGAATCACAGGTAAGTTTTTTTTGGCTGCAAATATTGGCAATATTATTAATATTATGACTATGATTTCATTATGATTATCGTCGGCGAATTATTGTAAGTCTTGGCCTTGATCTTTTTCAATTTTTATTTTTGATTTGATTTGAGGCGAATTGTTTTTTAAATTAGATTAGTAATTGACACCTTGCTACTTTACTAAGACTAAGGTGTCTGTAGTTTTAATTTTAACTTAAATTAACTATTAATTATAATTAATCGCGTTCCGAGTCTAAGTAACTCTAGGCCCTAGGCTGACTAGGCTTTACTTATGATTTATGATTTCTCATCATTTTTGTTACTTGGCCGCAGGCCCTAGTCCTAGGCCTATTAGGTCTACTCTACTCTAGGAGGCCCAGCCCTATTAGTAATTACCATTTGCTTATACTTATAACTATAAGCCTGATAGTAATAGTAATAATAATAGCCTAAGCCTAGGCCTAAAGTCTAAGTGTAGAGAATTAAATAATTAAGGCATTATAATATAATAAATTAGCAGCTACAACTTACAACTTCTGCAACTTGGCTTAGTTATAATTTATAGTATATATAAATATATTTTATAACTTTCATGCTTTAGGCATGATTATATTATATAGTATAGTAATACATAATATATAATATAGGCCTAAGTTCTAAGGCATAGAATGGTATAGTATAGGCATAGGACCTAACTTTTTAGTCATTGTCTTCTTTATTCTCCATTCACTGAGCCCATTGATAGTTTTTTTTTTTTTTTAAATCTAAAGACACTAAAGTAAAAATAATCAATTATGCCTAGTGTAAATAACTTTACTCTTCCTAGCCTTAGTTAGGCCAAATACTTTAATACTAATAGTAAATAGTAGCCTACATTTGAAAAAGGATTTTCAAAATCTTTAAACTGTCATTGAATTTTTAAAGAAACTATTTATACTTTGTTATTGTCGAGCCTGTTTGAGTTTTAACTTTTGAAAAAGGCATTTAATCTGAAAAATATTAGGCCAACACAGTGTTTTCTGTAGCATACACTAGGCACATCTTCCTGTTGGCTGACATTTCCATTCAAATTTCACTTACTTAACATACACATATCTTCATAATCTCACTCATAAAATTATTTAGCTTTTAAACTTTATTAGCAAGTACATACCACAAACCAACACTACTTAATAATTTTCATGTATAAATAAAACTAGTAACTAGTTTAACTATGTAATTAGTTTAAAATACCATAGTATTAAAACTTTTATTTGTTTATTTTTTTCTAAGCTTATGAGGTAAAACAAGTTCATACAGAGGCGTAGCGAGGGGGGGCAGGGGGGGGGGCATATCCCCGGGCGCCAGCTAGTTAGGGGCGCCAAAATGTGCTTTGATATTATTTTATTGATGAAAATAATGGGTTTGAGAGTTTTAAAAAAATAAAAAGGGGCGCTTTAAAATTGATCTTGTCCCCCGGCGCGAATCTTGTCCCCGGGCGCCAAACACCCTCGCTACGCTTCTGAGTTGATATCATAATATGCTAATAATAATAGTTCAGTCGAAAGGCTTATACTTTAACATACTTAAAATTGAACAAAAAAATAGCTTAGCTTACCTAATGTAGTCTTTCTTAAATAGAGAAAAATTCACTTACACTTTCTGCTCTATAGAGCTTTTAATAAGGATTAGCAGTGGAATGGTAGTATTGCATCG